TTAACATGATGACATGTATCCCTTGGTCTTTACTGGGACGTTAGATGAGAGGATCTCGAAATCAATCGTTAGACATTCAACAAGACATAATAGTTATTCATTTCAAATGGCAGGCGTTTTGATAACTATCATTAGCCATTTAGCTGACTTCGGGCTTCACAGAGGGAAGGTTCATCAAAGTAGAAGAAAATCGAGGGGTGGGGAACAGAAGAGCGATTCGCAGATACAAAAGAGATAGATAAACACAAAGGTAGAGAAAAAGGTAATGTGAGTACTGTGAAAGTGGTGGAATATGACATACAGTGGGGTGAAGTCAGAAGTCAACTGCCGGTTAGTAGACTTTTTTGCTGTATGACATAATAGTGGCTTCCAATAACTTGGCGAAAGTAATGTGCTTCTAAATATGTCTATAGTTAATTATGAAATATGATTCTCAGTTATGGCATTAAGAGAGATGCTGAAATGTTATCAAATAGCTTTTGAGAAAAATGATCAAACTTATGAAGGAAGTAGTAAGATACCAAATATCCGAAAGCATTGCAAAATCCAGACACTTATACTTCAATCTGGCCCGAGAATTTAACAGGAGAACACCAAACTATTTGAATCTATTTCTAATCTATGATCTATCGGAAAGACTTGAAGAGTATAAAAAACCTTATCAGATTTTCGTAATGTCCACATACTTTTAAGCAAGAGTGCCTTTAGTGCGATTCAGATTAGATAGTGCAAGATAAAATACAAAATTTGAAAAGGTTTTCAACTAATTAATTTTGACAATCATTCAAAATATTCTGAAAGCCATTTTTCTTTACAATAAGTTATGTCCTTGATAATCTGATATTTCGAGTTAAATAAATCAAGTCGCATATTACAGTTGAAGCTTAAAGTATCTTGTACTCCCTTAGTTATTCGTTCAAGAAGGTTTTCTGAGTTTACCATTTTCTCTTCATATCCTGAATTAGAACTTTCTATACCCCTTCAAAGTGAAACTCTACTTTCAGTTAGAATAAAAGTCTAGATCATTTAAAGGGCAACTCCTCACAAAATATACGGCCAGCTTGGCATTAGGATAGAAACTTGCCTAAACAAATCCCATAGTTTCTATGTTCTGTTAGTAACGAATACGACCATTTCTTACCTGGGTCTTTGTATATACAAAGAAGGAAACTACACCCACCATCGAGTCTTAGATCTAATTTTGTGATTCCGTACTTTTCTATTAATAAATTGAACTTTACCTTAATGAAGGTTTTTCCCCATACTGCTATATACTACTGGAGTCGTACCTATAACGTAACGCAAAGTAATTCATTTATTTGTTAAAATATTTTTTATACCTACACATGATTTTTGTCATTTTATGCCTCGGAAATTTCATATGAGGAAGATATTTTTTGTGCTCAGTACGATCTTCCAATGCAATCGGGTAGACTTTTTTATTTTAGGTATGTTTTTGATAATTGAATAAATTAAATAGTGAGGTATTAAGTTAAACGGATGCTGTCTCGATGCGATTCATAAACCCGTCAAAGAGCACACTTTTCGAAATCCACTTAGGATCTCAATTTAACAGCAGCTACTTGAATACTGAATTTGAAATTTTTACTAACTCTAACTATTTTTGTACATTCTGAGTGGAATGATAATTCTTAAAAAGAGCGCTAGGCTTTAAAGTTTTCAAAAAGGAGAGCGCAATTCGAAACCCCCTGTTTCAGTGTAAAGACAATAGTGGATTAATGTAGTTACATATTTTTATAGAGGCAAACATGCCCAAAACTTTCACTATTTGAAGTTCAGCGGTACTTTTAATAGGCAATTTAAAAAGCTGTATAAATGAGGCAACTTGCATGAATATAGTTTTTCATTTATCAAAACATAATCACAGCGGTTTACTAAAACTGGTTATGCGTAGAAAACAATGCATCGTAAATTTGCGTGCGGACTAAATTGACGAATGTATAAAATTGCTTTGCTCATGACACTCAATCAAAGTCAACTAAAGCAGAGAGTTAAGAAATGTATGAATATTAATGTAGTTTATCACATAAGAGGTCAATAAATTGGGGTTAAGCATTAGAAGGCAAATCCATTTTAAATAACATTTCTTCAAGGATATACAAAAATTACAGGAAATAGTACAGCTGCCTTGGATTTGGTTTTTAATAACACTGGGAAGTATGTTTTTCATCGACATGATCAATTATATTTATGCAAAGTTCCAATTACTCCATCTAATCGTATTATCGGCATCTGAAAAGTTTTGCTTTAGCCTTTACCATCGTGACCCAATTATCTAACACTAGCGATGCTGATGTACGTTTAAATTCTCTGCTGCGATTTATTTTGCAATGCATTTCTATTATATATTTTACAAAATTTCATTCATTTTAATACCTTGTAAACTTTGATTGCGCCTATACCAAAGTCATGCTTAATGTTTTCGTGAACATTTTCGACGCATTTATGCTTCACTTACTCCTTGCTTTTTGGTTAAATTAGTCACTTATTCCATTTTTATCTTAGTGATTTTATAAGAATTAAGTTATTTGTTCGATTTTTTATTTTCTTCTGCTAATCAAGGGATACAGATGAAATTGATCTGTCTTCAACCAGTGACAGTCCGAATGCTCCTCTTAAGAGGAATAAAAGGGCAGTTATTACAATTAGCACATACAATTCGGACGATGACGACGACGATGATCTTGATTTAGAGGACGATGCTCCATTAGTATGTTTATAACATTAACTGATGTTTTAATTATGCTTATTTAATTAGGTTTTGAATCCAATTCTCGATACCAAAACAATTTCTTAATATTCACTTCATCTCTATTAGTTATTACGTTTTAATTGCTTGCATTTGTATTTATTTTCATAGTTTTTTTGACCTTTATCTTAGACCAGTCAAAGATGCTGTTACTTTGAAGTCATTATTTTGTTCCTTATGTTAATTTATGTTCTAATGGATCCAAGCGGAATTTTAACTTTTCACTTTCCTGTTAACTAACTTACAATTTTCCAAAGCTTTATGGCTCACTTTTTAAATAATTTGGCAAGTGTGTCAAAGAAAACTTTAGTGCTCTTATTTAGACAAGCTTATTACATTCCCAGTTTCAGTCAATATATGCTTGCCATAGGTAAGTCGTGAATACTTCAGCTCTTACTTACTAGAATTAGAAATTGTACTGCCACTATGCTATTACTAAATCTTATGGCCTTTATCTTGAACGGTGTTCACTACTTTCCTGTTGTATTCATTGTAACCATATTGTACATGAAATTAATTTAATATGGCGAGTGCGTGGTGATTTATAAGCATACCATAGTTTAGATGCTTGTAAATTACTCTATCGAAGGACCTATAGAAGGCTGTAGACCTCCGTACTTGGATAAGGACTAAAGAAATTGTGTAGGAGATTTGTTCTTAAAGTCGTGGAGGAGTGACAATTACCTTATCTCTACCTTTGTTTACTCTCATTTAAGAGAACTCTAACTTTAAGATCATCCAATAGGTACGTTTTTAATTGGATTACGTCGGCAAATTCTTGCAGTCTGCTGAAAATATCTTATACAAAATTTTTTTATAAAATGCCTTCTTCAGACTATCCATTTGGGTCACTGAGGGAAAAGTTAGGACACTTGTGTTCATCATTAATTCTTTATTTAGGTTGTTTCGGTTATGCCCATTCGTGAGAGTTTTGGATGCTAATCGCGTTCTTGAATCCCCTGAGTAGAGAGCTGTTAATGAAGATGCCCAGCTTTTTTACTGCTCAAATCACCAGAACTACAAGAATTATTCGAATATTCATCGACCAATACATTTCTTTTTCCATTTTTAGTCAGAGATACGAGCCGGTATGGCCCCATTTCCCGCCTGTGACAAGGAGATTATTGACTTAACCAACGAGGCAACTCCTCCTCCTTCGGACGATGAATCATCTACTCTCACAGAGGATCAGAAAGATCACATCGTCACAGTCATGTCTAAAGCGGGTCATTCCGATCTCTTCAAGGTCAGTAATGCACCCTCCCGCAATTCTCTTCTGTCAATGGTATGTTTGGCAATAATTTGCTGGCTCCCTTATGAGCTCTGTGATTAGTAATAATGTGTATTTGTGTTGTATGTTGGAATATTCACCCTTTTTCCTGCTTTTCAGTGGGTGAATTCCTCAAAATTCCAGGCGTTCCGACCACCGCGCATGGGATACACTGGTTTCGGCGACAAGGAAAGGTGGGTCCTCATTTAAAGTCAAATGTTTTCGCTTTAATAATTGATATTTTTGGTATGAATGTCCTTTGTATGTGCATATTTATCACTTCATAAGCTTATTCCCATTAAGTAGTTGTAATTATAGCGTTTTGTAAAAATCTATACTTTTGCCTCGGCTATTCATTCGATTTATCGTGTGAAATGTAAATGATTTTCACTTGTGGAGTTATCTGTGTATTTGTTATCATTTCGGTTCTACACGGTTCTGATTGGTTCTTTTTTATAAAACTGGCAGTCTAATGGTCATGTTACAGTTGACAATATTAATTCTCTCGTTAAACCATTAAATGGTTATTATTCAAATCCCTATTTTCCTTTTCGCAAAGCATTCGGTGAAAACCTTTCCCCACAATTACATGAGTGGTTCGATTCTCCGAAGCATGTGCATTTTTATACTACTCTATTTGTTTGTTATATATGTCGAGAGGTTTCTGGAAGGGATGCTCTAAATGAAAAAAAACCAGAAAGGAAAAACCCCTAAGCCACCGCACTTTTTATCGCCCTGAAATTCTGTTATAACGAGATGGAGGACGGTGGCAAAATGTTGTATTACTAGAAGGGAATGTGTGAGAAGGCATAAGTGTCTAAAGGGATCAGAGCAAAGCCCGATAGGTAACTTTAAATCCGAGGCATGAGTCATTTAAAACGAAATAAGAGAGGTTAAATCGATCAGTTCACTATTAATCAAATACGCATCAGATTTTTTATTCGTGAGATAGTACGTTAAGGAAGAATGAAATGGTTTTGCATGTTTTTTTCATTTTGGCAGAATGAGAGATTCCAGGATATCTCTCTTCTTAATGGCTCGTGAAACTTTGCACCAAATAAATGAATCACAATTTGAATATATACATTTTTGAACATGTGCTTCAGAGTTCCGGAATTGGATGTAAATTTGCGTTACCAAGGTTATGAGCGTTTCTTAAACAGTTTTGGTTTTAGGATTTGCATTTGTCTTTTTCTCCTTAGGGCAATTTGACCCGATTACCTATTTACAATCACATTGTTTGAGAATGACCTTTTAGTCGTGGTTACTTGATATCTTCTTTAAACAGCAGCTTTTTTATTTACACTAGCGGACAACATCACAGCTAATAGTGTATATTTGCTAATGTCGATAATCCTGTTTTATGAAAATTATTTGCGGGCTCTCCGCAATTTTGGCTTTTTAATTTAGCTTTTGAGAAATATGCAGTATCTGTTTACTAGCGATAATCGGAAATTCTTTTCAAACTACACACATTTTGCATTTGACTAATGGGTGTATAATTGCTAGCTTGGTTTGGGACATCCCGCCTATCTCTTTAATCTGTCTTCAGGTAGTGATCGATAAATTTGATATCTTCAGCTAAGTAAACGAAGTAAATGGAAATTCGTTCACTTGTAGAGTTCCTCGTTCCTTTGTGGTTCATTTCTACGAGACACTGAAATCCAATGACCCTTCAACATCAAATTCGGTCATAAAGGAGCCAAATTTTGGAGCAGTTCTGTTAAAGGCACAAGCGCACTGGAAGAGCCTAAGTTCGGAAGAAAGAAAAGTAAGATAATTGTTAGAAAAAGTACCTTTGTTGTTTTCTACAACCGTTATTATCCTAGCGTTGAGGGTACTCCATTCTCAATATCAATTGCTAATGTCGACCAAACTTAGAAAATATTATAGTCACCTTTAATGATGAATGTGGGTTTAAATAAAAACAAACATGCAGTCCACTATAGCGTTTTGGGGAAGAGTGAAATTGGCCTTTAGTTATTTGGACGTACACAAGCTTTAATTCAGAACAGTGATTTAAGTTATGACCTCTAACTCAAAAACGGGGATTGTGCTATCTGGTTCACGATAGGTATAGTGATCTACGTATGATTTTAATTTTGAACTCGTTTCATAATATTTGATTAGTGTTTATTTATTACGCATATTTCAATTTCTTTGTAGGCTTATCGTAAACGGGCAATTCATTCTAAGGCATCATATAGCCACCATTTACTGGAACGTCGAGAAAAGCTAAACTCCTTGGTATGTGGTAGAGTTCTATAAAATAATTGTTTTAGACATGAACCTATTAAATTACTTGTTCTTATTTGAGCAGATTTCTCGAAGAATACCAATATGTGCAAATCCATCCTGTCAAAATCTTGTTGTTTATGACAATCGTTGGGATCTGGATTATTGTTCACCAGATTGTGTGGTAGCCAACAGTAAATTCGTTTTTGAGAATAGATTCCGAAATTCCTCTGCGATTGCATTACCTGCCAATGAAAACCCAAGTGTCACTTCATCATCTGAGAAGCTAATGTCGTTGGCTTTATCAGATAATCACAGGAGGGTATGTTGTAGTTTCGTTCTGGTTAATATACTTCCTTCACTCTTTATAGAATTTATCCATTTTAGGGAGGGAATGCATCCTTGGAAAACGGAAGTCTCGAAGTTGAATGCAAAAATAAATCATTGAATTTACAATCTGCAGTTTCGCCTATGGAGATGAAGAGTAGTACTGATAACTATTTTGGTGGAAATATATTTGAACGAGTAGCAAATGTCGGTCAGATAAACAGAGTTAAGTCCCAAGGCGATACAACGCTTCGGAGTGATATCGCCCAATCCTAGAGCACTATAAGGGTATTTTATTCAGCGTCATCCGTCATTTGGAATAGATCTGTAAAAATGTTCATATGTTTGTTTAAATAGTTCAATAAAGTTATATAAATGAAGCGCGCCGTTTGCTTATTTGTAAAACATGCGTCGGGTGGCGTTGTTGTTGAGGCTGGTGGGTTTTAAGTCAAATCAAACACCTAGGCGTTATTTTTCTGAAGGGAATAGTGATAATCAATATGAGGTAATATTTTCTTTAAGTATTAACTATACTAGAGACGGATTTCGGGTCTGGTTGGTGGCTATTCAGGTCGCCATCAGCAAAGTGTCCTATCCCCAGCAATTGCATACGTTGATGAAGTCTTCCTAAATGGGGGAATTAAAGATCGAATTTTAAAGTTTGTGTATTATTTTAAATGTTACTTAATTTTCTTAAAGGAGTTCTTTTACAAAAATTGGAGCGATGGATATGTACAACGCTACTTTTTTACAGAGTCATTATACCGTCGTTTATAACATATTAACGACTCGATTACCTCAAAATAACAATAAGGATAGCGAAACTACAACTGAAGAGATTGAAAAGGAGGCTCTAAATTGGAAGAACGTTAATGAAGAGAAATTACGAGTTTGCATTGCTCGTGGTGTTCAGGCGTTACAGGCAAGCATTTATTTTATCCCCTGATTTTTCTCTTTAGAAACTTGGAGTGTCGGAGATATTTGTTGATCCCTGTGTGGATGCGGAAGTTGCTGCTGAGGCAGCCTTCCTCGCAGCATTTTCTTTTGACGAGTTGAAAAATCAAAAACGAAGAGTCAGTCAACCACCAATCTCCTGCTTTACTGCCCATTTAGACAATGATCCTGATGGATTCGAGACCAAATCGAAGTGTGTTTCTATTGAATTTATGAGATACTATTGTAATTGGCATTGAAATACTCGAATACTCTAGCAAACTAAGAAATTTATTTGTTTTGCTTTTTCATTTTTAAATGGTAATACTTTCTTTTGGTTCTTGAGCATATTCCTTCCCGTATAATTAAAACCATGCACGGATTTCCTTCCACTCTAAATTTATTTCCTTCGATTTTGAATATTATGATTCTCATAGTTTTTGATGATTTCTCTGCTTGCTTAGGGTACTCTAACTATTTCTTGAGATCTGTTTTGAGTTAATAGTTAGTACTATGTATTAGTTTTTCTTAATTCATAACAGACATGAGGCTATATTTCGTTTTATGTTCTAATTTGGCATTTTATTGACCTTTTATCCGGACTTTTGTGTTACCTGAGCCGGACTGAATACTAATTTTTGTATGATAATACTCTTTGAACACTTCTTCATTTTGTTTTATTTACTGCTGTTACTGTGGTATCTGGGCTCTCGTAATAGGATCTCCTGGTATACTCACTTCAAACTAAGGTGATTTGGGTATGAATGACTCTCTTAACATCTTTATGGGGCCTGTTGTAACGGTCACAACGCCGTGCTCGGCATAAATTTCACGATATAATATTTGGTTGTGGGGTGTGCGATAGACTTACCTCCACGTTGTGCACCCTGGGCAACGTATATTCATACGGCAAAAAAGTCTATCAACTGGCAGTTGACTTCTCACTTCAAACTACCCTCACCCCATTGTATGTCTTATTCGACTACTTCCACAGTACTCACCTCACCTTTTTCTACCTTCGTCTTTGAAACACTCTTCTGTTCCCCCCTCCCTCTCGACTTTTTTTCCCACTTTGATGTTCCTTCCCCTATGTGAAGACTGAAGTCAACTAATGGGCTAATGATAACCATCAAGACGCCTGTCATTTGATATAAATAAATATTTGGTTGTTTTTTTCAGATGTGTTAAAAGTTTAAATCCTTTTTCTGAATCATGGAAAAAACCTATTTGTTTCGTGATGGCTTGCATCGGCCATGAATAAAGGAGATAATGTTCGCTCTTCAGTGCTTTCTGAATTAGCAAGTTAATATGCTCTGCTTTTGATTGCTGACTGCTTGTGCATCATAGGAGTATTTGTCAACTTGAATGTATGACAAATTAGAGACCATGGGCGGACATCTGCATTTGCTAAATGTAGTCACCGTTGGGGGTGGAAGAATGCGAGTTTTTCGTAAGCGTCCTCAGAGGTTATCTTACCCAAATGCTGTGAACGCTTTCTATTTTGAACTTGAGCTAACTGGTTGATGCTCAATTTTGATTTACAGTCCCTTGTGTAATTTTTTCTAGATTACAAGCAGCATGGGACAGGGGGCGAATTCTAGCTCAATCTCAAAACCAAGCCCGGCGGTGGATGGAAATGCCACCCAACATGTTGTACCCGGAGGTTTTTGCCCATGCAATTGAGGAGGCCATGAGTGAGGCAATGAAATCGGCAGCTGAAGATGCTTCTCTCAACGTGGAGGTCTATGACAGGAAGTGGATCAAACAACAGGGTATGGGCGGTGTTCTTGGTGTTGCTAGGGGGTCTGATCAATCACCCTACTTTGTGGAGATTAGCTATGTGGTGAGTGTTAGATTTTTATTCATTCACATATTCATGTTTGTTCCGGATTTGATTGGGACCACTGTGTGTTTCAAGGTTGTGCTTTCTTATCTCGAAACGCCAGTTGTTCTTTGATTTGACATTTGCGTAACCACAGGGATTCTGACAATTTTGGCATTAACTAAACCTTCAAAATGAATTCCCAGTGGATTTTTTTCATCGCTCTCAAGCTATGAATCAATACATGAATAACGTTGCCGTTCATGGTGCTTCGTCAGCTCTGAATTCATTTTCGAAGGCTTTCTTTGTCTCTAGGTTGTACAAACTTGAGATTATTTTTGGAATCTGTGATGGTCCTTACTTATTAGTTATCTTATTCATTTTTTTAATAGCACATGCTTATCTTATGAATTCCTTATAGAGCGTAATAATAGCAGCATCGCAAATGAGATACAAGGTTTAGGGGACTGTTCAAATAACTTCCTTACTTTGCTAATTTCTGTCGTGGTGTATTCTCTTGCCGTCTCATTTCTATTGGATGCATAGGTAAATTCTTTGACATTAGCACCATTATTTTAAAATTGAATTGTTCCGGTAACTCGCATGATCCTATTGCAGATAGGTTGAAATATTGGGTCATTAATTGAGCTAGTCCTAAGGGTTAAAAAACATTAGAATGTGATAGCTTTTTAGATAGTATTAAATAGTTACTAAAACATCTTGCTATTAAGGAGGAATGTTTGTTCCAACATGATTTAACTCGTTTTCCCTTTGCTGTACGTTTTAGGGTGACCCGTCGCGACCCAATGACCATATTGCATTGGTAGGGAAAGGAGTTACCTTCGATTCTGGCGGTATTTCTATCAAACCCGCAGTCGGAATGGGTGATATGCGAGGCGATATGGGTAATTATACAATGACTCTTAAAATTCCAAATCTAGACAATTCACATGTATTTAAAGCGTGACTTTTTCCCGATTTTGTCCTCTTTAATGCCTTTGCTGCGCCCTTAAACGCATTCATGACCCTTATATTTGGGAGGGGAGGGGGGGGGGAGTTGTCTATTTAAAAATTGAAATTAAAAGTTTGCTTATTGCCAGTTGTGTAACGATACTGTTGATTAATCTTGTATTTTTTGACTCGCTTTTTGTAGATAGCTGCTTTTTTAATCGAAATGCTCGTTTAGCTAATTTCGACTTCACTTGCTATTCGAAATGATTTTCTCTTATAGTATGCTCAACGAACCTGAAAAGTTGATAATTGCTCTAGCGAAGTCTTAATTCCTATTTAATTCCTGAATAAATTGAGAAGCTGTTTTTGCTTTGTGTGTAGGCATTATCTTGTTAAATAATTGTTTCTTTCCAGTTAAATAAAATTGGGCTATAACTGTTTCTCTCGGTTCTAACTATTTATAATGGCTAATTCCACGTATATATCACCAAATGAATAATAGATTTTCCTATTGGTATAGCTTTCTTTGCTTTATTGTGTGGAATGGGTGCTTGGTTTGGAGGCAACCATTGTTTACGCCACTAGCATTGGTGCAGAAGATCCGTTCCCCACCCCTCTCCCCNCCCCCCCCCCCCCCCCCCCCCCCCCCCCCCCCCCCCCCCAATAACAATTTGGTTAGAAAATGGGCGAAAAATGCTCTTGTTTCTCCGCTCACCTTTGCTATACTGTGAGAGTTGACGTGTCAACACCCCAAATTCTCAACAAAGCTTGATTGCCCAGTCAACCAGAAACATGCGAGTTTCTTTGATAGGTCCCTCATAGTTTGTTGAGGATCTGATTCAAGCATGAATTTTATTACGGTCATCATGATTTTTTGCGCAATGTTTGGATTCTCGCTTCACAATTTGAATTCTTGAGACCGAAATCGGTACCGACGGACTGTGTGCATTTGAGTATGAATTTCAGAAATGGCTTTATTAGTGTCTTTGCAGACTTTCAAGCTCTATTGAATGGCTATCAGTCTGCAAAGCCTAATGCCTTCTCGGTCTGCTTTGTGGTTGGCCATTTTTGGCTCTTAGCAATAAAGTGTAACGCATTGCTTTAAATAGTATCGAGCAATTTTTCTGCTAAGTAAAGTACATTTTCTTATATTCATACTAAGAAGCACACCATTATTTTGTTTAATACATAATAGATCGAATTACTTTGCTCAACATTCTTTTCTGCATAGAATATGATAGAGAAATCTGATTGTCAAAAATCTTTATGCTCTAGATTGATTTTTATTTCAGGTGGAGCCGCAGTCATAGCTTCTGTACTCACTGGAATCATTCGGCTTCAATCCCCAATCAACGTCCGAGTATATCTTCCATTGGTGGAAAATATGCCTGATGGGAGAGCTATGCGACCTGGAGATGTCATCCGAATGGCCAATGGTTGCACCGTTCAGGTAAGTGTCTTAACGTTTTAAAAGTTAAATAAAGCTTTGATGTGTGCCACTTTGCTGAAATAATTGTTGTTAACTTATTCTCAGTGAGTTATTATTTAGGAATCTCTGACTTGTAAAATCTAGTAAAGCTTTTTTAATGTTTAAAAGAAGTATTTGTTACAATCGGTCTACCTAACTTCTATTGTTAATTTGCTCGTGATAACGCCAAAGTTACATTGAAAGACCCGGAATAACGGGAAAATCAAGCAACCCACTAGCATGCGAAATTGGAGAGATTGTCAAGAAGTACTTAGTTGAGTGAAGTGTGCGAGGACTTATCTGAATTCCGGATGTTTGAGGTTTTTCATGTTCTCATTGGGGTACCTCACCGTGCGAACTTTTAATGATTTAATTTCATTATTTATCCGGCAGATTCCTAAATGCTTCAGGGCTTGTTGACCGATTGAGCTAGCTCAACGGTTCCCCATGCCACATCGTATAATTTCCCTCTTCACACAGGTTATGGCAGACAAATGGTACAGGTCAACCTGGCTTTCACATATAGCAGAACTCTTTAGATCGCACTTTGTTTTCTAAAGGTTGATAATACAGATGCAGAAGGTCGGTTGATCCTTGCAGACGCTCTCCACTACGCTCAGTCAAGAAATCCCTTCTTCATCATGGATGCAGCCACTCTCACCGGAGCCATTTCGATAGCCCTTGGTGACGCATATACCGGTATCTTCTGTAATCGTTCTGTCCAACGGCGTCAAGTCCTCGACATTTGGCCATTGTCTGAAGCTGAAAAGGGGGATGCTGGTAGCAGTACTGTTCAGGGAGGCCGTGGTGGTGCAACCATCATCGGTGCTCTAAATCACTGCGGGCGTATCAAGTGTGATCCATTCTGGCATATGCCTAATCTCTATGCGAGGCATTTAATTGATGGCTGTGCTACGGCGGATATTGCGAATATTACCTCCGGAGCTTATGCCAAGTTGGCTGGGTCTGGATCGGCATCCGCTTTCCTTCAGGTGAATTAATATTCCCCCCCCCCCCTATTCTCTCCTCTTTAAATAGCATCAGGTGAAAATTTTCTATAACTGAGTTTTTATTTTACTAAGCAGGGCTAATGATATCATAAAGCCTGCCATTGGAAATAAATAAATAATTTTACTAAGTTTAGTTTCCTCTCACTGGATATCCCGAGACCACAAATGACTCAGACATGATGCTATTTGAGATGAGAAGGGATTTAGTATTCTTGTGATTCAGTCTCTTGATCTCATGTAGGTGGGATTTAATGTTTTTCCAATTAACTAATGTGCACTAAGTACCTAATCACCAGGGCATTTAGCAGAGTTTAAGGTTTTTGTCCACCCAAGGTGGAGTTAAGATATCTTTGCTAAAAGGACTTTTATGTCTTTGGGACTAGGGAATTTATTATCTCATGAGCTATGAAAGCATTGAAAAAGAATAAGTTGTTAAGCTTCTGAGTAGACTGGGTTTGGCTCTTTGAATATCTTGAGATTGTTTTATTTCATTGCTGGATAAGGACAAGTGATGGCAAATTGTACCGCTATTGAATTATTAAATATCAGCATATTTTCGCTTTTGTTTTGTAGAATTTCGTGAAACCCACTATTCCCTTTATTCATTTGGATATCGCGGGGGTAATGAAAACAATTGTTGATGATGCTTCTCTCCGTCGTGGCATGTCCGGTGAGTTGATTTGCGAATTGATGTTATTATTCAAAAGTAGAATTTTCTTACTTGGTTCTTGAAGCCTTGCGTCAATTTAATATGACAGAATTGAAACTGCTAAAGTCTCTACCTGTTTATCATTAATTGTTTTAATTTAGGACGCCCTACTCGTGCCTTAATTCACTTCCTGGACAGTTTAGCTCGTCACAATTTCCGTAAGCATGAGCGGGACAATAAGGAGTAATGGAGGTGATGTCCACCACCATCTCAATCCCTTATCTTTTTTATAGTCACCCCATCTTTTAGATTTGATGGTTCCCTTAAGTTTGAATGCTTTTCGATGTGCATACTTGCCTTTTGATATGTAAGAAACCAGTAGTCAGTAATGCGACCTCAGGAATGTGTTATATTAAATTTGAAATACAGACACCAATTTACCAATTGGATATTAAAATACCAAGTCTTGAGTATTTTTTTTAACCACTTTTGGGTAGCCAACAAACTATGTCATAGTTAATACGATCAAGCACCTGCCTCCCGTAAATGTCGGACCCCGAGAACTATACCCCCCCCCCCCATAATATATTTCTTGACAATGTTAGGGACAAATAAGCGCCAGTATAATTCGGGGTCACATTTACTGGCAGAAATATTTAGTGCAATGTATATTTGTGCCCAAGTCGTTTTGTAAAAACGGACATAAAATTGTACATTTTGGTCAGATGAGCCTAATTAAATCTCTTAAATACTTTTTGAAAAGCACTTCAATTTCGGTAATGCTGTTATTGGTTAGTCGGACACAAAATATAGATAATAAACAGTTGACTTTATAAATAGAAGTTAGAAGTCCAGTTACCACGATGACGTGTTGCTCTTAGATGGCGTGAACTAGGCAATCGCACAATCATGTGCCTGCATATTACAAGGCTGGTTCGGCGATATAGCTAGATGCTATTGAAAGCTGGCCGTATAACATGAAGATAAAACGTTTTACGGGGTTAGGAATAGTAATTTGTGTAGTTTTTTGGGTAATTGTGTCCTTTTCTATATCCTTATATAAATCAGTATCGGCGCATACAATCGGTCTTGCAAATAAAGGTCTCCACTATAAAAAAAACTTGTGTGAACTAAACTCCAGCTGATAATTTTTATTCACTGTTTATCTAGCTATTAAATAACAAATACCGAACTTGGGGCTACTTAGCAGTCAAATTTGCAATAATGTCCGTTAATGCTGACTTCCATTTCTTTAGTCTTAATTTCTATATTATTTCTCACGTCCCTTGTACTTGGTCTCAATCCATGGGCAGATATCTCCTGTATCCTGAGGGGGTTCGTTTTACAACGACAGTTGCTTTCTCCCGCAGTTTTCACTAAACACTAAGTGAGCCCATACACCGAACTCCATTACCACGTGATACTTTTGAAAACTTCAGGTTCTAGCTATCCTATTCATTTTACTGCAACGCCTTGTATCATTCTATTTTTATTGTGAAAAGGAGATGGTGGCGAAATAATGAAAAAAATACTTCCGGACTTTCCTCATGAATGGCAAAGTAATGGAAAGTGAACTTCTGTTTATTATAGCAATTGACATGATTCTGGTGATCAAATGAAATACAGTCCACGATCATAGTGAAGCGTCGTTTGCTATGCACTTCCACTTTGCCCATGAGAAGGATTGCAAATCTTTTGCATCCTGTCCTGCAAAATGAATAGATGAAAACAAGGGCAATTTTATTACTAGTGCATAAGAGCTGGCACCTGTGTCATGCATTCTATATGACAAGCGCATAACTTCCATATACAGTGAATCCTAGAATTATATATGTATGCGTGTATATGATACTCATTTTTGGAAGCAGAGAGAATTTCAAACGCAAAGTTAGGTCGCTGCTTAAAAATTCGAGGTCTTCCGATTAGATAGTTGTGGTGTTTAGGGGTTTTCTATAAAACACAAAAAATGAAGAGCAGTTAAGGCAAGTACAGATGAGTAAAATTGTTGCTAATAGCAGTAGCAGGAAAATATATTCCAATTAATTGGAAGCAATTTTGAGGTTGTAAATCATCAGGATATTTTGGCTGAGAACGCAATTCAGATAGTAGCCCTCTGGTTTAAAAAAGGTTAGAAGGTGAAGTAGTGGACACGTAAGCATGGGAATCACGTGTGCTTCTAGGGAATTAAGGAAATAAATATTTACGCGAGCTGTGTCAGAGGCAAATTCAAAGTGGCAACATTTACATTCTGAAACAGGTTATCTTCGGCAAATTGACGAGTTTTCATGTAGGAAGATTTGACTATAGGTAGATGATAGTAGACTCCATAAAAGCTGAAAAATTTCAACACGAAAGTAATCTTTGAGATAAATATTTTAAATCTGACATTATGCAGATTTTTGACGAGAAAAAAATGCGAATTCAAGATGATTAATTTAACAGAGATTTCCATTTATCGCATTACCGAATATCAACCACAACCGATGTGTACAAATTACAGGTGTACAATGTCACTATCATCAGCATATTACAGATGAAAGGTTATATGCTGCTCACCAACCCTTGAAGTAGCTTTCAAATCTGCTCACCCCTTAATGGGTTGTGGCTGAGGGGTGAATGGGAGGCGGAGCTTGAGATTGAGTCTGCGCGTGAAGATCTGTGAGAGGGACGTAGATCACTCCCATGAGCGCAGTCTCAGTAACATGACGACCGGTACGATCTTTGACCACTTGATAGAGGACTTGGTTACCACCCGGCGGACCCACTGGACAAATCATCTGACCGTTAGGTTTTAGCTGTGCCACCAACTGTAATGGGGAAGAACAGCTTACGATGCGCCTTGCAATAAACTACGACTTTCAAACCTATGGATTTATAGAAATTGAAACATACCGATAAGACAAATAACGGAAGCTGCACAGCACAGATTGAATTTCAAATTACCATTTGGAAGTAAGCTAAGATTGTGGATTTACAAGTCTGCATGGAATCTCGTATCCTATGGAAACAAACCTTGATGTACAGTGACACAGTGAGAAATATGGAGTGGGAATTCGCTTTGACAGAAGCAGCCACTCACTTTTTTAATTGGTCTTGGTGCACATTTCTGCCTTTCCTACTCTTACAGAGCTTTATGTCCTTTTATTCAGTTTTGTCTTTTCTTTAAGAAGTTCATTGATACATTGTTGGCTAGGACACCATCCATACAAAAATATTAACTTAGAAAATTATTAATATGAACACAATAAGGGCCTATGCAATAGGAAAATGTGATCTATGAACGTGATTTCTCCATTTTTCACCAATAGCCGGCTCAACTTCACTAATGATAAGTTAAAAAATTCTTCGAGCATTATGGAAAGATGTTAACATCAAAACTGACTTCTCTGAGTGAAAAGATCGAATCGCCTTTTTTATGAACACTGGCATTCCTATATTTTCACTCCTGGGGTGTGCGATAGACCTACCTCCACGTGGTGCACCCTGGGCAACGTATATTCATACGGCAAAAAAGTCTATTACCAGGCAGTTGACTTCTCACTTCAAACTACCACCACCTCACTCTATGCCATATTTGACTATTTCACAGTACTCATCTCACCTTTTTCACTCTACCTTTGTGTCTGTCGCTTTTACATCTTTGAAACACTCTTCTGTTCCTCTCCTGACTTTTTTTCAATTTGATGTTCCTTCCTCTCTGTGAAGCCTGAAGTCAACTAAAGGGCTAACGACAACCATCAAGACGCCTGCCATTTGATATAAATAAATAAATATTTTCACTCCTCTTTAATGAATAGTCAAGTGCTGTAGAATAAGATTCATCCTAATCAATACAAAATTAAAATCTGCACCAATTGCAGTCGCATGAATTAAAGCGTGCAATTTTCTTAACTATAACTGCAAAGAAACGCGAAATGTCGATGTAAAAAAAATAATGCCTTGTGGTGACGAAAAAATCCTCCTCAAACATCTTTCTGTGCTTTAATCCCATCCACGTGGGGTTTGGGATAGACTTACCTCCACGTGGTGAACCCTGATAAACGTATACTCGTACGGCAAAAAAGTCTATAAACCGGCAG